CATTGGTGACACTCCCCACAACTATACAGTGTAAAGATTCAAAAAGCTTAATCTAATTCAGTGAAAATAATATTGTATTAATACATTTAAATCATCTCTTGGCAAAAAAAAAAGAATAGCAAATGCTTTAAAAACAAAGTATTTCTCAAAGAGTACTATCTTGTGGCATATTGTGTTGTGTAGTAGGGAGGGAAGACATTTTCAAACCAACAACTGGGAATGAGAGTTTGCATGAAATTGGTAATGATAATGAAGTTAGAGTAGTAAACTTTGCCACACTGTTGTATCCCAGTATTTCAGGGACTCAGGTTCGCCAAGCGGTGAGCGATTCGATGTACGGGATTGGGATTAGGTGGAAAGACAACAGCAAGCAGTTGGATTTAATGGTGCTGTATTGTTAGAATAGGAGATGCTTGATGAAGTGCATAGAAATGGAGCGGGCACTTTAAAGATTCCCTACAAGGGGTGAGGCCGCAGTCCTGCCCGTCTAACCCTTGTGACAACTGGAATCCGACTCTCTGTGTGTCTCGCCTTCACCTCCAAGCTGCAGTAGTAGTCCTTCACACATGTGTGGAAGGGGAGGAGACCACACACACATATTTGTTTAGTCTATGCATTGGTTGCGAGCCGTCCACAGCTTGGAAAGAATATTTAAGATGCCCAAGAAACACAAAAATATAGTACACAATTATACAAGTACTCACACTTCCACGTATGCAACAACATCAAAAAATCTTACTATCAAAAGTACAATGTTCCCACATCATAACATCCATAAATTTACTTGGACATCTCCTGATGGGAAGATACACAATCAAATAGACCATATTTTGATAGACAGGAGATGGCACTCAAGTATACTTGATGTCCGATCATTCAGGGCAGCAGACTGTGATACTGACCACTACTTGGTGGTGGCAAGGTTAGGGAAAGACTGGCGGTGAGCCAACAAACAACATGCAGAGTTCATATGGAGAGGTTCAATCTCAAGAAATTAAATGAGGTAGAGGGTAAAGAGCAGTATCGTGTTGAAATCTCAAATAGGTTTGTGGCTTTGGAAAACTTTGACACTAAGGTGGATGTTAATAAAACTTGGGAAACTATTAGAGAGAATATAAAAATGTGAGCCAAAGAGAGTCTAGACTATTATGAACCGAAGAAGCATAAGCCATGGTTCACTGAAGTATCCTCAAAATTATTAGATCAAAGAAAGCAGGCCAAATTGCAATGGTTACAGGACCCAAGCAAGATAAATGGGGATAATCTGAACAAGACGTGAAACCAGCAGGAATTTCAGGAACAAAAAGAGGAAATATCTGAAAGACAAAATTGATGAGCTTGCAATGAACAGTAAGAACAAGAACATTAGAGACCTGTATAGAGGAATAAATGACTTTAAGAGGGGTTACGAGCCTAGCAGTAACTTAGTGAAGGATTAGAATGGTGATCTGCTTGCAGATTCCCACAACATTTTGAATAGGTGGAGGAATTACTTCTCTCAGTTATTGAATGAACATAGGATCAGTGATGTTAGGCACACAGAAATCAATACAGCTGAGCTGTTAACTCTTTGACTGTCGCGAAGGGTATTTAAATCCCACCCCTGTCCTGGCAGGCCCTTTAAACCTTATGTCGCTAAAATGCATGTAGTTACTTTTTCCTAAACAACTTCAAAAAAAAAAACTGGTTTTTAAAAACGAAATTTTCAGGAACTAATTAAAATACAATATTTTATGCAATAAATGCCTTTCCATACCTCTTTATTAGTTTTTCTTCATGTGATAAACATTGAAACATGAAAGTTTGCAGAGAGCCACACCACAGCCTGCACACGA